GTGTTCTGGGGGGGGGGGGGGTCCCTTCATGGGATTCTTGCATGGGGCCCTGAGGTCACTAGTTACGCCACTGGTGAGACCCCCAGTTACGAACCAAGGACCTGTGGAGTGGACCCAAATCACAAATCGCAGCTGACCGACCGATGGACCCCCCTACTTGCTCTTTTTTCTTTCCTACTCTTTCCTTTTGTCTTCTATTGCAAGAGGACATCTACACCTGGTCTGTTCCACCAAGAGGCCATTAATGGCATTAATGTTGATTCATAGTGTTTGCATTGACATACTATTGAGTACATTATGTTGCCTATGTGGCCTTCTGTAGCCGGCAAATACTGTATAAAATGCTGATTATTTCTACCTTGAAAACCCGATAAATATTTGGTTACAAAAAAAAACCGCCAGATGTGGAAAACCCCCAAAAATCACACGAAGGCCAGAAAACTATATTTAATAATAGAATCTCAAACACAAGAGCCCGGAAACCCCCATGCATAGACCAGTTCCCACATTCCTGCAAGTGAACTCCCAACCCCCGATCCCCCCCCCGAATACAGAACAGAAAAATACCACACACCACGTACTGCTACCACGTGGCTGGTTACATTCTCACAGAGAAGATGGGCAGGGCTGGGCATGACTGGGGCACAGCCAACCCTGGCCACCCTTCCATCAATGGGAAGGAGATGCGCAAGGCTCACATGTCAGAACACACACGCACACACACAAGGCTGGAAGACCACCAGGTATACACACGTAGATGACGTTACGTCACTGGAGACAGCAGAACGGGCCACCATGAGCACGACGTGGCGGAGAACCATGCGAAGAGCGCGTGCCAGCAGACCATTGAGATACTGAAATATTGAAGGCTGGCAGAGAGAAATTAATCGGCTCAGAATGCTCAATGCCTGGCCTGCTCACCTAGGGGACCCTCTAGAGTACCTTGTTTTGACTGCTGGCATTTACACCCAGTCTGTCCCTTCATGAGACCATCTACACCTGGTCTGTTCTACCAAGAGGCCAACTACACCTGGTCTCTTCCACCATGAAGCCATGTACACCTGGTCTGTTCCACTAAGAGGCCAACTACACCTGGTCTGTTCCACCATAAAGCCATGTACACCTGGTCTATTCCACCAAGAGGCCATCTACACCTGGTCTCCTCCACCATGAAGCCATGTACACCTGGTCTGTTCCACTAAGAGGCCAACTACACCTGGTCTGTTCCACCATAAAGCCATGTACACCTGGTCTATTCCACCAAGAGGCCATCTACACCTGGTCTCCTCCACCATGAAGCCATGTACACCTGGTCTGTTCCACTAAGAGGCCAACTACACCTGGTCTGTTCCACCATAAAGCCATGTACACCTGGTCTATTCCACCAAGAGGCCATCTACACCTGGTCTCCTCCACCATGAAGCCATGTACACCTGGTCTGTTCCACTAAGAGGCCAACTACACCTGGTCTGTTCCACCATAAAGCCATGTACACCTGGTCTATTCCACCAAGAGGCCATCTACACCTGGTCTCCTCCACCATGAAGCCATGTACACCTGGTCTGTTCCACTAAGAGGCCAACTACACCTGGTCTGTTCCACCATAAAGCCATGTACACCTGGTCTATTCCACCAAGAGGCCATCTACACCTGGTCTCCTCCACCATGAAGCCATGTACACCTGGTCTGTTCCACTAAGAGGCCAACTACACCTGGTCTGTTCCACCATAAAGCCATGTACACCTGGTCTATTCCACCAAGAGGCCATCTACACCTGGTCTCCTCCACCATGAAGCCATGTACACCTGGTCTGTTCCACTAAGAGGCCAACTACACCTGGTCTGTTCCACCATAAAGCCATGTACACCTGGTCTATTCCACCAAGAGGCCATCTACACCTGGTCTCCTCCACCATGAAGCCATGTACACCTGGTCTGTTCCACTAAGAGGCCAACTACACCTGGTCTGTTCCACCATAAAGCCATGTACACCTGGTCTATTCCACCAAGAGGCCATCTACACCTGGTCTCCTCCACCATGAAGCCATGTACACCTGGTCTGTTCCACTAAGAGGCCAACTACACCTGGTCTGTTCCACCATAAAGCCATGTACACCTGGTCTATTCCACCAAGAGGCCATCTACACCTGGTCTCCTCCACCATGAAGCCATGTACACCTGGTCTGTTCCACTAAGAGGCCAACTACACCTGGTCTGTTCCACCAAGAGGCCAACTACAACTGTTCTGATCTACCAGGAGGCCATCTACACCTGTTCTGTTCCTCCAAGAGGCCATCTACACCTGGTCTGTTCCACCATGAGGCCATCTACACCTGGTCTGATCAACCAAGAGGCCATCTACACCTGGTCTGTTCCACCAGGAGGCCATCTACACCTGTTCTGTTCCTCCAAGAGGCCATCTACACCTGGTCTGTTCCACCATGAGGCCATCTACACCTGGTCTGATCAACCAAGAGGCCATCTACACCTGGTCTGTTCCACCAGGAGGCCATCTACACCCAGTCTGTTCCAGCATAAGGCCACACTGTGCCGGAAGAGCAATCTTTTCCCACAATCCTTTTTGCTGGCACTCTGGCAATCCTTTTCTACCCACCCACAGGGATTGCTGTCCCCTTATGCATGTCCTCTACCCACCTCCCTGCCATTATGGCTGGTTTGTGCCAAATTTGTCCTCACCAAGCCATAACCCCGTCTACTTTGGTGGAGTTATAGCACTGCCCACCTTATGCTTCATGCAATCTTCCCTCATAGCCTGTAACACATCTCCGCCGCCATTGCCATTTGTTCTTGACAAACTGGTCATAATTGTCCCAACTTGTCTCTCTCTTTGGAAGCACAACTTTATTCATCCTGGAGACCAATCACTGGTCTTACACATTGTCAACCAGCCATCAAACTGGTCGTACAATACTCAAGATACTGTATATCGGCAAGCCTTATCCTACCCAACCTTTACAACTGCTTACCACCCTACCTGTGTGCTTGATGGCATTATCTGGTCTTTTCTACTGAAAGTCATCTAGGCCTATATTGGTGGGCCTGTCACCGAAAGATTGTGTTCTCATTGGATAGGCTCCTCTCCGATTCTAGCTAAATTAGTCAACCGCATTATCCAAGAATGCCGCACCTCAGTGCATTCATGGTCCTTCTGACTGGTTGCAGCAATATCCTGTCTTCTCACAGGAAACCCTGGTCTTGTTCTATGACAACACCACAGTCTTCATCTCATCCATCCCATCCTTGCTTCAATAAATTGCTGTACTGGACCAGGGTTTTGGGTTTTCAAGGATTTAAACAGTCAAAGCTCTTTCCAACCACCCAATGGATCCCCATTTTTATTCTTGGGAAAAGAGAGAAGATCTGAAGCATTTGAGGTGGAAACCCATTGTTTCCTCCCGTAGATGTATACTGTTGATGGCTCTTCTATAAGTCCTGCTTGGACCACATTTCCCCCCCCTTTAATGGTACCACCCACTGGCCATCTAGGAAGCACTTAATTTGGCCACAGGAACCAGACCCCACTCCCCCCTGGAAAGACAGCCTTTGCCCTGGATCCTCAGCTGCTCCCCCTGCTGGCCACACAACACATTCAGCGCCAAACATGCAAAGACGTCACTTCAAACCCACCAACACTGAGAGAACAGGATAAACGTCTTCACGGAACAGCCATACCACGACACACACACGTTTTTGCTCCACGTCACTCAATGCTTCTGCTACACACTGCTGGGATTGTAGCACAGGACATTAAACTGCAGGTTCTCGTCCCAGTGCCGGAGCAAGACAAAGAGCTGCTGGGCCGCGGACTTGACTGTGGCCAGGGTACGTCCCTCCGGGATCTGCTGCTTACACAACCACCTGTCGGCTTTGGAAGCCAGAAGCTCCCACTCTGTAAAATAAGCTGCCGAATGATTTTCTAACCAGGCCAGGCCCACGGCGGTAGCCCAGATCATGCTTTCTGGGTGAGACTTGCGTTGCTCCTCGATGCCCTCCATCCAGGACTGCACCTCAGCGCCATCAGACTCCGACCCCAAACCGCTGTCTGTGTGGATGGAGGAAGAGTCCTGTACACTATCGGGAGAAGAGAACCGACGGATCGAGAGGACCGGGAGGGACAGTTCATTGTCCGTCTTCGGAGAACGAGAAGGACTATCCAAGGCACTGCTCGATAAGTGCCGCGTTCTGGTTTGCTGGCTGATGTCCTCCCCGAACCCGTTCACTGTGCCATGGAGGTCATCAACTGGTGCCAGCAACTGGCACGTGCCCGTAGGAAGGGTGGCCTCCTTTCGGGACGGAGAACTGTGAGACATCGGACTGAGAGTGGCACGGTGACTGCTGAAAGGGGATGTCCACTTGAGTTTGTCCATTGGGATATTTGCCGCATCGGCAAAGGTCTGGTTGAGCAGGAAGCCTCCACAAGCCAGCTGCAGGGAGACCTAGGATGAAAAGAAATGGCTTCATCATATTGGCTCAGAGCTCAGATCACAGAAGAAGCAGCAGATATTAGGGGTGCCAAGAAGAAAGAGCCACTTTCCAGAGCTGCAGTAGAATGTAAATGGGAAGGGAAGAAAGAGGAACACAAGGAAGGAAGGTATCATGCCGTGAATCTATACCGGCCCTCTAGTTGTGGTGAAACTACAAATCCCGTCATGCATCTGGCTCTGGAACAGGGGCATCCCGAGGCCGGGTGTCTCCCGGAGCAGGTACCGGATGGCACCCCGCTGTGACGTCATTGCGCATGACGTCATCACACACCTGCGTGATGATGTCACGTGCATGCGTAGCCATCTTGGTGATACCTGCCGGCAGCCATCTTGGTGATGGACGCTGGTAGAGAGAGAGGAGGGGGACGTTTACCCGGCCGGATAAGGTATACCGCCGGGTCCCCTCCTCTCTCCTGGCACTGCCGGGCTCTCGATCCATGACCAAGTGCCCGATTTTTAAGAGGGGAGTGACACCAAAATTACCGTCAGTCATTTTGGTGTCACCCAGGTCCGGCCCGCACCTCTAGTGACGCCACTGCTCTGGAAGTCGCTTTTGGAGTCCTGCAATGCCTTTATGGGTTTTGTAGTTGCACCACAGCTGGAGGGCCGACGCCTGACTACCCCGATCTATACCACGCCACAGTATAAAAGGCGTCTGAAAGCTTTCATGAGACGGTGAATCTGGGGCTGGTATAGCGAGTGTAACATTTGTATCGGTAGACAATCGCCTTCCTTGCCTGTGTCCCCCGGCTCGGCCCTGACAAGCACTGGGCTCTACGCTGCCCATTATGAGCCGACATTCTCACGTTGGTACGAGCGGACCGTTCACCTTACCAGAGGTAAATAATCAATGTTCTTCTCGCTCTCGCTCTCCTCGCTGCCTTTCCCCGGAGACTTAATCATGAATCCCTTGGCTGCGCGGGTCAGGAGGCGGGTCTTGTTCAGGGACAGCCTGCAAAGAGAGGGGGAGATGAAGGGATTTGCCGTGAGAAGAGGGCGAGTCGGCACTAAACACCGCTGAACCGTCCTTACCTGGCAGCAAAAAGACTTTCTATGGACCTCTGAGAATGGGAGGAGGAGACGGAAGGACTGCGCGGGGCACCTGCAAGACAGAGGAAGGGGAAGACGCTCAGCTCTCCGACAATGAACGTTCCACAATAAAGCCGAAAGAAGGAATGCCGTGAAATCCAATGCAGGGGAAGCTTTATTGTTCTGCAAGCAAAACGAAGCCCCACGTGGGTTCCCCTCACTGACGCGTTTCCCCCAAATTGGCCTTAAGCGTCATTGGAGGAGGTCCCAGGGGAGGCTTTGTTTTGCTTTTGCAGAACAATAAAGTTTCACTTGTGTTGGATTTTACAGCTGGTCTCACTGGTCGTTCAGAATGAGGATGAGCCCCGTGCTTGGGGCTACAACAGCCGGGGTGTAAGGTGAATGTCAGGATACAACAGCCGGGGTGTGAGGTGAATGTCAGGATACAACAGCCGGGGTGTGAGGTGAATGTCAGGATACAACAGCCGGGGTGTGAGGTGAATGTCAGGATACAACAGCCGGGGTGTGAGGTGAATCAGCCG